ATCTTCTGTATATTTAATAAGTAGTAATTGAAACCCAAATTTTAGCACCAAGATACTATGTCTAAAAGCTGACTACACCCTCAATGAATTAAGGAAAAACCTGTCTGTCCTCAAACAAATACCTGATCCAGAGAGGTAAAAATCTTGATTTATAGTCTTTTCATATTCTTTGCTTTAAAATATTTGTTGATTCAAGAAAACGAGTTGCATTTTAGAAGATTTGGTATGTTACAGTTCAATTTTGCATTCTTTTTTTTTTTTTTTTGGTCATTTTTTAAATTGTTTATTTAACAACCATATACTTAGAAGAAGCATTTCATTACAACAACATTGACATATTCAGTAACAATTTCCTGAGCTGAGATGCATCTCTTCCAAATTGGCTGTAAAATTTTAGGTTTATAGTTGAATTATTACAGTTATACAATATTGTACTCAGTATAAACCCTATAAGACATAAATTAAATGATGTTTTAACCTTTAAAAAGATCTCCATTTCATTATTAAAATACACAGTTTCATACAGAAAAATTCATTTTTAATGCAATTGACATTAAGATGTTTGCACATGTGTCTCTAATCTCTATATATCTGATTATTACTAGTCCTAGTTGGTTACTTTCTGAGCTCCTTGGCATCTGAGCATAGATGTAAAGTCATCAGGTAGATTTCAATGGTAATGTTTTTCACATCTACTAATTATTAAGGAGCAAATTTTTATGCTTTGAAGAATTATTTTTTAATTATTTATTTAATAACCATATAATTAGAAGAAGCATTTCATTACAACAGCATTGACATATTCAATAACAATTTCCAGAGTTAAGATGCATCTCTTTGAAAATCGGCTGTAAAATTTTAGGTTTACAGTTGAATTAATATGTTCATTTTATGTGAATATTGAACTATTTGGGATCATTTAGTAGACTATTCATATGGATTTTAAATGCCTTGTTTTCTTGCTTTTTACTTCTCACTCAACTGAGATTCTCATTAATTTTTCCAGCTCTAGAATGTAGACATAACATTTAGAAAGTATTCAAACAAGGGTGAATGAATGAAATGTATAGAAAGAAAAAGAAGTGTTTGATAACTGTAAACATCCTACAGGTGAAACAGAGCCTATCACACAGGTATGAGGGAAAGCAGTACTTCTGAACGTATTTCAGTCTTTTCTGAGGAGTCACACGTATTCTAAATGCTACACCTAGCTGATTGGAGAAATAAGTTTTATTTTAATCTCTTACCATCTTTCAAAAATATTGATAGCTTCCCTAAGGATTTTATACCTTGTGTTTTAAATTCTACTCAGGAAGCTGATGCTGCAGGAACACAGAATCAGCCAGGGCAAATTGAAGTGATCTTATCTTTAAAAAGAAAAGAACAAAAAAGGTAGCTCAAATATTAAAATATTGGTTAACTTGCTGAAATTGCTTTAGTGTCTATCAGTTTAAAAAAAAATCAGTCAGTCTGTCTCCCTGTACACATGTGTGTGTACCCTTTCCTGTCTGCTAATATTCTCACTAGCATTATACTGGGTTATGATGCAGTAATTCTCAGAAAGCAGTATTGCTGTTTTTCCTTGTCATTTTAGAAAATAGAAAATCCTGATGAGCTGGCAGAACTGATAAATATGAATCTTGCACAACTTTGCTCACTTCTCATGGCTTTATGGGGACAGTTTCTGGAAGTTATAACACTACATGAAGAACTAAGAGTGTTACTAGCACAGGAGCACCATACTTTACGGGTGAGTTAAAGAAACGTGATATTAAAGCCTGTTAGTATCATCCAGCTGTAGAAATTCCTTATGACTAAAAATGCTGATTCATTCTTAGTATGTCAATAAATCAGAAGATAGACTTATCATTGTTATTGTTTGATTTCTAAAGTGAAAAATAAAGACAGTTCAGCAAGTATTACATTTCAGTATCAGTGTCTGCTAGTTTGAAAAAGTACCTAAAAGTAAATATACCATGAAAATGTATGATGAGATAGTTCCTGGAAGCCAAAAGTAGGAATTATAGCCAGATCTCATTGGGGATGGAAATGAGTAACTAAATAGCCATCTCTAACAGCTTTTCCTCCTCTAACAGCCTCTCCTTTTATCTCCCTTTCCTTCCTTTTCCTTCCCTAACTTATCATGGGAATATGTATTAGGAACTTTACAAGGTGAAGAGAGTGTCATATAATACACATGCATACATACACACACATATATATACATATTTACTATAGGCCTAGCATGACCCTTACTCAGAAATATTACACAATTATTATATAGCATCTACTTGTTACTGAATTCTGTGTGAATCAAATTATAATTTATTCTGTTGATAGACATCTAGATTCCTTCTAATTTTTAACTATTACAAACCAAGGCCAGTTTCTCAGAGTATTTACCTGAAAGGGACTATTTATCTATAAATACTCAAGCATATGTTTCCTAAGTTAGACACATTTACATATCACAATAACCAACTTTAGAAATTCTTATTGATACAATACTGATATTTATAGTATATGGCCTATCTTATTTTCTGTTGCTATGATAAAATACTGTGACCAAAGCAACTTAAGGAGGAAGGAGTTTCTTTTGGTTTTTCACTGCAGAGGGGAAACAGTCCATCATGGCGGGGAAGGCATGGCAGCAGGAACATGAGGCTGGCCTGTCACATTGCATGGCAGGAGGGGAGGGGTGGGGAAATGAATGAATAGGAATGAGAATGAGAACAGAAGGTGGGGCTGGACTACAGAACCTCAAGCCCCTGCTCCCTGCCACACACTTCCTTCAGCAAGACTCCATCTCCTAAAGGATCCATGACCTTCCCAAAGTGCACCACCCACCAGGGACCAAGTGTTCAAAAACATGGTCGTATAGGGGACATTTCACATAAACCACAGTGTAGCCTATATTTAAATTTTACCAATTATTGTTTCCTAAATGACATTTTTCTCCCATTTTTAGAGTCAAATTCAGATTCACATGTCACATTCAGTTTTAATGTCCTTTTAAGCTCATTTAACATACACTTATTCTTGTTTTCTTTATCTTTCATGACTGATTTTTATTTTTTTATTTTATTTTATTTTATTTTTTTGCAGCGTATTGGACAATGGTTGTGTGAACTATCCCTCAGT